ACTAACGTCCCACTGATCAACTCCCTCAACTTAAATGAAATCCAAATTATTTTCATATTTGGTGTCCTAAATATAATTCTAAGCACTCAAAGATTAATAGTAACTGTCTTTAACACTGTGGATAGTGTGTGGTGTCATGTTAAAGCCCTGTGAAATATGTTTGTTTTTGCAGCTGTGGTCAGCAGTGTGCCTGGACTTATCATGGGCGTGAATATCACGGTCATTTGATGTTCTTGTTCCAAGGCACAAAATACATGTTTAATGGCTTTAAATAAGAAGGTTACTTTAGCTTTTCTTTAATCCACAGAGAGACAAAACTGTGCAGACAGACTGAAATATATGAGTGTGCTGCTGAAGGCTCTGCAGTCAGAGTGATGGTAGGCTCTAAGCCTAAAACAGATACTACATGTGAAGAAAAGTTTTAGTTATAATATCCCCTCACCCTTTAACAGAATTCAATCTAAATGAATAAAATATGTGTAGTTGGTAAACGAACTAAAACAGCATGAAATTGTAAATATTCTGTGTTCATTTACGGTATGATTTGGTGCTGTACAACACAGGGTTTCTACAACCCCGTCGGGGAACTGTGTTTATATTGTAACCCCTATACTGATTTTCATACATCTTACTGTAGTGTTTGCCATAAATAAAATAATAAGTAATAAAGACCAACACGGAAACTAAAGAAACAAAAAAGAAACATTTTCAAACAGAACAAAGGCGCAAACCCGCCCTCCAAACTAACTCGCACTAAGCTAAATGACAAACTAAGACTAATAATAACTCTGGTAGTTATAATTCTCCACAACTGGTAGTTTCTTTTTCCAGCATGAAAGGGGTTTATTTGGCAGCTCTCACTGGGCAGACCGATCCTCAGAGCAATGAGGAAGTCCAGGGAGAGTTTTGCATTAGCACGTTGGCGGTCTCTGCCACCATTTCTAACAGCTACAGTTCCCATAATCATCAGTTCAAACAACTGTATGTAAGCACAAGTTATTTCACCACTTTGTCCAGATCTGCTAGAAGACCCAAACTGTGACACTATGACAGGAAATCTAATGATCAGGGACAATCTAGCACCAAAGCTCAGGCGTTCCAGTGTCCCTGTCCACAGTGACGGGAGGGCTCGCCGTGGACTCGGAGGGCGCTCACCAAGAACGAACCCCCTGCTCCAAAACTGACACCTGTAATCGTGACTGAAGTTTGCAGCTGCACATGTTTTTTGGCCAAACAAGGCAAAGAGTTATCTGGCCACAATGACAGAAGCTGGTGAGGATGGCAGATGCTTTTGGTCAAAGCTAAGGGACATTTAACCAAATATGCATCTATAACTGTGAGCCTGTGTGGATTAGAAAGAACCCAAAATAAAGTAATTAAAGATTTATGTTGCAGAATTATTCCCCCAGTGAAAAAGCCCAAAATGACCATAACATCCATGCCCATGATGTAAACGTCTGAGCACAGCTGTAGCACACATGTAATATATTTACCTAGTCCATCTCTGAAGCCCACTTTGACTTTCACTGACATCCACACTGACCTCTTGTTTTTGTTGCTATGGTAACCGTTGGTTTGCCCTTTGTCTGACCTTAATACTGCTCTTGTTTCTATTTGTACATCGTTCTGCTTCTTGCTGCTTCTTGTTCCCCAAAGGAGTCTGATTCAGACCAAGAACAAGAGGAAGAGGTAAAAGCAGCCAGCGCTTCTCATTTCCCTCGTCTTCCCATTAGCTCCACTAATCTGTCTTTGCCTCTGTCTGTAGTTTAGACTGTGATTCAGCAGTGACTTAGCTTATCTGTGCTCTTTCCCTCAGTAATAGGTGTAGTGATAGTTAAAATAATTAGCACGTGCAGCGGTCAAAACATCCTAACTGTTGTATTTCCATGTGATCTTTTTCAGACCAACAGACTGCTCGAGAAATGTAAGACGTACTTTTACTTACATACTTTGCTCTGCAACTTGTACTAACGTGGTTGCTGCTCTTTGATAAAAATGCATGTATTTATTAATCAAAATAATATTGGTGTAAATGGTGTGAATAAGTCTAACACTAGTAATGAGAATGCAGAGGAATAACCAGACTCATACACATTCACCCTGAAGTCCATCTTTTCAAAGTTATGTTTCTCTCTACTTGTTTCGTAATGATTTACACCTCATTGTTTCAATTTAATCCAATTTCATTCTTTTACAATGCGAGATTGGAGATACGAAGAAAGAGTTAAACAATGCAACTTACGTATGTACATAAATATGATCTTCATTCATACTGTGGTGATGTTTATGTGACGGCCTATATATACATATATATATATATCTATGTGCTAGCCTGAAAGCCAGCGTAGCGCTAACACTGTCATAATCGTGGTTGCTGATGTGGTTGCACTTGGCCCTGATTGGCCAGGTGGGTGGAGAGGTGCAGCTAGTGTTGTGTTGTGTATAATTTGGGCTTTTATTCTGCATTTCCACACTTCGTTCTGCATTGGTTAGATCAAAAAGAGACTCTCAACAGTAACATGATTCACAGCTGCTTGTGGGATGTGAGTTAAATGACTGTAGCCATTATACAGTAACAGAACAAATCACCTTTAAAAGGAGATAGGACAAAATGTGATTCGCCATGAGTGAAGCACATCCAGACTCCACCTTCCTAATTCTGAACTTCCCTTTTCTTCCCAGTATTGTTTTTGTGGTGCAGTTTGTGCCATGTTGTGCTAGGGTTGTGCTGGTATCATATGCTCTAAGTTCCTGAAGTTGGCTACTAGTGTAGTCAGGCTCCTCCCCCTCTCCCCTCCCACCATGGCTTGTCTCGTGGTAATGTGAACATTCAGGAAAAGAGTCACAAAACATGTTAATTAGATACATTTAACAAATCAACCCATATTTGTTAGCGTTACGTTTCTAAAGGACGTGTTATTGAGTAAAACTCTATGGACCGTGTGTATTTTCAACTTTCACACAGTATCAATGTCACTGACATTTTAAAAACTGGAATTGCTAAATGATCGGGCCCAGAACTCACCACATTACTGAAAGAAGACAAGCAACTAAGTACCAACTTTCTCATCACTCTTCTCTATGACCTCTCCATCATCATTTCCCTTTACTTTGCATGGAAATAACTTGCCATACTTACAAATGAATGTGTGTGCTGTGTGTCTGTGTGATTATACGTACCGTCTTCTTAGTGAGAGTTCATCTTGTTTGCTCTGTATGTCACCGTTTTTTGCTTCTGTTTCTTTTTTTGTGAGTTTTCATTACGGTTGTCTTCCAAATGCTGATTTAGTCAAAAGCAGAATGGAGTGAAATAGAATTCCTTCATTCCTGCTTGAATTGAAATAAAATATATTAGTTTTGCAATAGCGCTAAACATGGCAAATCCTCATACGCCATTTACATTATCACTGGCTTTCTTTCATAGACTTAGTGACGTTTCCCATACATCTGAGCAATCTTGAGATGTTTTGATGTTGTTTCTGTTTCATATGTTTTGTTTTGGTTTTCATTGTTTTGTTGGTTTCTCCGTCACATGCTAGTTTTTTTATCAGTTCCAGTTTTGATCTGTATTTTTGTCTTGTGAGTGTGGATGCAAGTGTAAAAGCAAGTTATTTCCTGCTCATATCCTTTCCCATTGGTATGTGTTTAGCATTTGCTTTACCACAGCACAGACATATGAAACTACAAGCCTAATTCCTTTGATTCCCTGGTGTACAGTAGAAACCATTGTGAGTTTGTTGTCCTATGATCCCTGCGGTGTGCTCCAATCTTGTCCTGACCACATTCTCCAATGTCTGTCTCCTTTCATTTAAATTTTTAATTTTCTTTACTCCTTACTTGTTCTTCTTCCATATGGAAGATGAAGAGACGGAGACGTCAGTCCTGAAATCAGAGCTGATTCGAGAACCAGATCTTCTATCCGACGTGTCAGAGATGAAACAAGATTTGATCAAAATGACTGTCATCTTGACTGCAGACTCCGCTGAGAAATCCCCTTCCTTAGGAGGGTGTGGTCTAGAGAAAGGGACCGAGGAAGTTTCTGGAGAAGCGTTAGAAACAATGGAAAAAGACTTAGAGAAAGTCAAAGAGGACCTAGAGAAAGTCAGTGAAATACTGAGGAGTGGAACGTATGAGGGTGAGGTGGCAGAGGAGGCAGCGAAAGCAGCTAGAATGGCTGAGGAATGGGTTCTCCTCTCAGATAGTGAGATAGAAGAAGCCAAAAAGATGGCAGCTTTAGAAAATCAAGAGCTCGTCTTACGGGAAAGTAGAGGTAACAGAGGGACTCCCAGACCTAAAGCCATCAAGGACAGTGGTGACCTTAAAGAATACCTGCTGGATGTACCAATAAGCTCTAAAGTTAAAGCCAAAAAAGAGACAAGTTTCCAGGAAAGATTCACTGATGTTGTACTACGCAAAAGTACAAAACCAACCACTCCAACCAAAGTACATGACAAACCCGCCACTGGTGATGTTAAAAAGCCAGTGAGACGGAAGGGAAAAGACCAGGGGAAGACAGAGGAATCGACAGAAACAGGGAGTCGTCTAAGTGTGCCCACAGCCAAGGCCCCAGCATCCCCTGTATCCCCAGTGATTGAAGAAACTCCCATCGGATCAATCAAGGACAAAGTCAAAGCCTTACAACAGAAAGTGGAGGCAGAGCAAAAGAGCAAAAAGGTCACTGGAAGCAAACCTACGCATTTGCCTGTTATGAGCAAATCCTCCCCAAAAGCCAAAGAAACCGCTAAGTCAAAGCAGGCCCTGCATAAATCCCCTAAAGCTGATTCTGAAAAACTTGAAGAGACCATGTCAGTTAAAGAGCTGATGCAAGCATTCCAAACGGGTCAAGACCCCTCAAAGAGAAAGTCGGGGCTATTTCAGCTCAAAACATCCTCTTCATCCAAATCAGAAAAAAGCACTAAATCTGAAACTATCCACACAAAATCCACGACGAAAGCAGCAGCTTCACACGTCCCTCAAGAGCGAGAAGTGTCATTGGATTCCAAACCCCAAAAGAAACTGATCAGTCAGCAAGACAAAGACACAAAACCCTCTGCTGATTCAGAGCTAACTGACACTGTAGACTTTGGAAACGGTGGCCTTGATGATAGCTCTGGCAGCTTTAAACATGAGGGTGTGGCAGACTCCCTAAGTTCTGGGAATGGATCCTCTCATTTGAGCTCTGAGGACAGTTACAAACATGAGGGTCTAGCCACTCCGGGCACAAGCCCTGAAAGTCTAGGTCTTTCTCCCAAAACTGTAAAGCAAACCTCTACAACTTTGGCACCAGCTGCCGCAACAGTAAAGAAAGAGAGTAAAGATACAGAGAAGTGTGGGGATTCTGGTATAGGGACCACTGGTGACCAACTCTCTACAGAATTGACCCTCCTTGTCTCTTCCAGCAAGGCTACAGATGACCACACTACAAGTGAGTCTATATCTGTTAAGAGGAGTGAGTCAAAACCACAAAAGCTTACAAAAAGAATTTCAGAGACTATAGAAACTTTTCTTAGCGATGATGAAAGCCCCGATCATCAGCTAGTATTGTCTTTAGTTGGGTCGTCAGCTCCTAGATCCCCGTCTCAGCATCACGAAAGCTTAGACTTACTTTTAAAACAAGACGCAGATGCTCTCAGTCCGTTAGCTGATGACTCTTTAACAATAAGCCACAGAGACTCGTTAGAGGGTAGTCCTCTCATGGAAGAAAATTCCTCCCACAAATCTCCAGACTCTATTGAGCCCAGCCCAACTAAGGAATCACCTCCTCATGACTCCTTAGAGAGCAGTCCTGTAGAGCTAAAAAGCTGCCCATTCTTCCCACTAGGTCCACCTAGCAAATCCTATAGCCATCCAGAGCCTCCCAAAGATGCAGAATTCCCCGAGGAAACTGTGCCCAGTAGGCTTCTTCGAGACCATGAGGCTAGTGCTGATGATGACAGTTGTGAGCAGACGTCTCAGATGACAAGTTCTGGTAAGAGCCCCCTCTCCCCTGACACCCCTAGTTCTGAAGAGGTAAGTTATGAGGTAAACCCCAAACCCCCTGATCATTCATTCCTCTTTGCTCTATCAAAACCGGCTGTCATCCCTGAAGACCCAGAAGAAGATAATGCATCAGACAGCCACGAAGCTAGGAGAAAGATCACTCCTGAGGAAGAGATGTTTAAGATGGCAGCCAAAATAAAAACATTTAATGAAATGGAACAAGACGTGAAGAGCAAAACGAAGTCTAGAAAAGATTTGTTTTCTCCAGCAGATGCCAAAATAGGGGATGACAGCTGTGAAAGTGAGAAGCTATCGCAAAGTGAATGTGGGTTCAGTACACCCACAGAGGATTCAAAATTAGCTCTTTTTGTTGATCCCCTTATTAAAGTACAACCTCCCTCTCCTTTTTCAGCAGGTTTGAATGATGGATGCCACAGCAAAGAGGCCAAGAGCACATCATCAACCAGTGTCACCTCAGAGGGACCTCACTCTGTCTCAGACCAGCATCATTCAAAATCCCAAATGAAAAACGAAGAAAGTTGCCCATTATCTGGAAAAGCCAATAAAGACAATAGCAACACAAAGGCATCAACATCAAATACTAAAAATAGGACTGATGAGCAAAAGGAAGAAAGCTTAAGGAAGTCAAGGGAAAGTAGAGGAGATGATACGCATGGTCAAGAGTTAGAGATTAGTGAGCCACAGACAGGTGTGCTGAAAAGATGTAGTAATGTCACAGATGAAGTTAAAGGAGATCAGGCCGGACTCTGTGAAACTGTTATTACAAGTAAGACACAGGAAACGTTTAAACCAGAGGTCTGCATCTACGATGACACAGAGGAGGACGACGAGACACTGGAACCTCCCAGGACCGAGTCCAAAGGTGTCACTGCAAGGGTAGATACCGAGTCTTGGTCTGCAATGCGGGAGGATGATGCCACTTTTGAAGCTCGCGTAAAAGAGGAGGAACAGAAGATACTGAATCTGGTTGTTGACCGTCAGTCTCCAGACACCACACCTGGTAGGACACCAACAGAAGAGAGCACTCCCACCAGTGAGCCCAATCCTTTTCTATTCCAAGAAGGGAAGCTCTTTGAGATGACCCGCAGTGGTGCTATTGACATGACAAAGAGGAGCTACGAGGAAGAGGCTGTTGGCTTTGCCTTTTTCCAGATAGGAGAACAGCCTTTAGAGGAGCCTATCTTAGAAGAGCCCAGACAAGAGAGTCAAAGATCTGCTGCAGAACCGGAAGTTGGTCTCAATTTAACACTAGAGGTTAAGACTGATAACAGTGAGCAATCCAAAGAAACAGCTGATTTACAGCTTCAGTCCTCGCCTGAAAATGAACAGCCAAGCTGCAAAGCTGATGCCTCCAAATCTAAAATCCCCAAAATGGGCATTTCAGCTGCAGCTAAACCTACAAAGAAAGATCAGACATCCCCAGAACTTCTAGAGATGAAAGCAGAGATAACTGAAAGATCCTTAGATTTAGACACAAGTTCCCTTGGTCAAATGATAACAAATGTACAGACAGCAGATACTACTATCACTAGATCAGTTTACTCTGAACAGGGGGAAGAGTCCTCTGACTCTTCTCCAGAGGAACCACAGTCAGTAATAGAAGCCCCCAAAACAACAGGAAAATCCAAACAAAGCGCTTCCAGTAGTGTTAAAAAGACTCCAGTCAAAGCACCAGCTAAGCCTACTTCTTCTCAAGGCCGTGGTAAATCAACAATTCATTCTCCATCTCATGCAGTTTCCCCTTCCAGCACTCCTAAAAAAGAGGCCATCTCTACTTCTGAATCTAAATCTAGAATTCCAGTTAAAGCTAGCACGATGAAGCCTGACTCTAAACGTGCTGAAAATAACCAGGACAAAAAACTTAAGGTCCCTGTGAATAAGGATACAAGGAGAAAATCTGAGACAGATGCAGGTCCCTCTGTGGATGTCAAAACCAAGACTCCATCTTCCAAAGCCAAGAGTTTCTGTGAGGGGGAGTCTCCCAGGTCATCTAAAAAAGAACAGGGTCGTCCTTTGAGTGCTGAGGCGGCAAAATCTAAGGGTTTTCAGTCCAGATTGCCAGTTCGAGGCAAAAGCGGTCAGTCGTCACATTCAACAACACCCACTAAAGAAAAAAGGGAGCCCTATAAAGAGCCCGTTGAGTTCTTTGAAGAGATAAGTGATGAAGCAGCAAAACTGGTGGCAAGGTTGGCAGAGGCAGACAGAGAGCAAGAGGTTGCGGCCACCATCTCAGATGACGAGAGCAGTCTCATTGATCCTTTAGTCATAGAAAGAGAACATTTCCCTCCCTCAGGAGACATCTTTCCCATTAGACCACTGTGGGACGAACCTGTTGAGACACAGATGCAGCGAATCCCAGACGATAAAGTCCAAAGTCAAGGTATCCCCCCAGTTTAAGGGGCTATTCTCTATCTCTTGTGCCTCATTAGTACGATAGCTAAAGGTGCTGCCTCTCTGTCTCTTGTGATTATGTCTTCTTGAAGTAAAAAGGAAAACATGTTGCTTGAGCTGTGTTTTTGTTTGTAATGATGTCTCACTTTCCTTGTATGTGTGCTGAAAATCTCAAGATTGACTTAAAGGCTTTATTGTGAAAACAACTTTAAAGATTAAAATGTGAATAATATCCAGAACAATTAAGTGTAATGGCAACAATTGATTGAAATGACACATCATGCTCTAGGGTATAGGTCTGGATCCTTAATTAATCCTATGTAAAGACATCGTTAGTAGAACACAAAAAAGAAAGCCAGTGAAGGTGTTTTATTTTTTAATATTTGTGAACATATCATTTGGAACACATTGCGGTTCTGACCGCTCATGGCTGTCTGGTGGTATTTGCAGTAGATCCACAGGATGAAGCAGAGAGAAAAGAGCAACGGTTGGCCATTATAGCTGACCACCTTGGCTTCAGCTGGACGGGTGAGTGACACCTCATCACGGCGATGAAGCGCTCAAGCTCAATGCATAGTTGGCAGGCCCTCAAGATACACCAGACATTCAAATGTATCTTCAAATATTCACGATTGTTACTGTATCATCTTCTCGCCAACAGAGTTAGCACAGGAGCTTGACTTCAGTGAGGAGAGGATCAATGAGATAAGAACTGGAAACCCCAACTCACTTCAAGACCAAAGCCATGCTCTTCTGAAAGTCTGGACAGAGAGGGAGGGAAATCTTGCCACAGGCCAGTGTTTAGTTCCTGTAGTTGGTACACGTTTCTCAGAATTATTGCTTTTTACTTAATAAGTAAAGAAATCTTGTTGTCAGCTTTGAAGTGAAACTTTTATTCTGTTTCAACAGAAGCAACACTTATCAAAAGACTGACAAAGATCAATCGAATGGATATTGTTCACCTTATTGAAAGCAGGACGTCTGAAGAAGAAACCTCACATACGTATGCAGAAATCGAGTGGACCATAGCACAGGACCATAGTGAAGGTGCACAAGCTAACCAAATACTTTGAGTATACAATACTAAAACAGAAAGCTGTAAGATTCATGCACGAGATTAGGTGATGTCTTCTAGTTACTAGACGTTTACTAGAATCTAGTAAACTTCATTTAACTTCTGTTCAAAGTGATATGACCGTGAGCTGTTGGCTGTTGAGAGGTTAAATTTTCCCTTCCTGTCCTGTGTGCCCGATCAGGTTTCGCTGCTCTTCATGAAGACATGGACAGCCCCAGGATTAGCAAACGTACAGAGGCTGCAAAAAAGAGTCCACGCTCAGGACAACAGGTTCCCATAGTGTCAGCAGAAGACCTTTCATCCAGTTTGTCATCACTTCACGAGACAACAGGACGACCGGTGACAGACTCCACGGCAGCAGGCCTTCTTAGAACTGTTCACAAAGACAAGCCACAAAAAGAGATGGAAACAACACAGTGAGTTACTCTGAATGCTTCGTTTAATGTCACCCCATCCACATTATTTGTTGTTTATTGACAGCCGTGCACATGCTCTGCAATTGTTCTGCACATAAACAGAGAGAAACAAGGAACACAGTGCTAAGGTTAAGAGCAGTTTGCTAAGATGCTTCCTTTATTACTTCCTTTTAGTGATTGTTTTGACACAGATTTGCAAACTTAATACGGTTTTTACTACTATGCATTAAATATTGTCGGTTTAATTTCCTTAAACTTATGAAATATATTCTTTTACAGTAATATGAGCCGATGCTGGGTTATTTTGGTCATTTGTCTCAGCACTGCATTTCTACATTTTCTTTTCATTGCAGCTTGTCACAAAGAACATATGAGGAAATGACAGACTTGGTACACACTGGCAGTTTTAAACAAGTAAGTCCTTTCTTCACATTGTACTGTACCTCTCCCTATAATCTCCGATCCCATGTGCTACACCCTATGTACAAAGGGGCACCCAAGTTATGTGCCCAAGTTACCCCAACGTCCACCTTCCCCACTTTTGAACGATGTGACCATGAAGGGGCTGCTGAAGATGAGGGGGCAGAGGGAGGAGAGGATTGGAGCTTAGAGTGTCTGCAAAGACCCCACTCTGGAGACAAAGCTCATCATTTGTCACCATTGCCTTGGGCAGAGACATCTGACAGTTCTCAGACAGGTGTATGCGAAAGTCGACTGTTGTCAATGACTGATTTTGGAGACAGTTTGATCGAGTGTGAGCAAGTGGAGCAAGACTTTCAGAAACTGTTGATGGAACTTACAGAAACTGATGAAGAACTACGCCTTACACAACAACATGCTGGTGAAAAAATGCTTCCCACTCAACCTACTACTGTACTCCCTTCTTATCCCCTCAATGTGATGACAGAATGCACACAAGCAAAACAAATGGCCCCAAAACACATGGATGAAGTTTCATGCCGACTTTATGAGGTCCTGTATGGAGGCAATGTTGAGATTGTGGATTCAGATAGTGAGGATGTGTCTTTGTTACCTACAGCTTACTCCCCTGATTACACAAAACAAGAAGTCAGGAACAATGAGGTTCATGCAGGTGACAGGCAAACAAAGGCTGATAAAGACATTTCAGAGTTTGTGGTTCAGAGTGATGTGCACCACACTCCTTACACAGGCAGTCTTGATGTGAAATTCACAAGTAGCATGAATGAAACCCAAAATACAAATCAGACTGGTCATCTTGATGATGAGGATAATTTTGAAAAAATGCTGTCACTCGGACAGAATGTACCTGAAAATGAGAACAAAGCAGCAACACCAATGGAGTTAGTATCTGAATATGTTGGCAACTGGGTTATCATTTCACTTTCTGGTACTGAGGAAAGACCGCTTTCTCCAGAGTCGGTAACCGAATACAGGCCAATGTCTCCAGACTCAGCAATGTTAGATATTAGATCATACTCCCCTGAGTCTGTGACATTAAATGAAGACTTGTCCATAGACTCTCCCATACCACAATATATATCATGTGTGAATCATCCTGTTACCATTAATTACCACTCATCATCATCATCAGAATCTATGCTGTCAGATACCGAGTATGAGGCTATGCCATTGCTTTTTGAGAAAAGAACAGTATCTCCTGATTCTCTTGGCTCTGTTAGTGATAATGAGCAGCTGTTGGTGATTCAAACAGCAGTTAGTGTAGAAGAGGGAAATGTTGAAATGCCTGAAACAGCAGCTTATGAAAGTGCTGATGTAGAGAATGAGTATTTGGTATTTTCACCTCATCAGGACAAATCTTCATCTTTAACACAACATTCTATACCAGTCTGTGGATTAGCTTTTGATGCAGACCACTGCAAGCTCATGTCTCAAATCTGGGACCCACAGTATGTAGGGGTGGAAAACTGCCACTTTTATAGAACCAAGCCGCAATCTTCTCTAGCTGATTCAGAAGACACTGTTGAAGATAAAGCTGCTGATTTACCATCAGATTTTTGCAACATGTCCCTATCACGTCATTTTGAAACAAAATGTAGACCAGTAGCGCCAGAAGTGGTATTGCTTGAAGACATGCTTAGATCGGATTCCTCCCACTCACTGAGG